TCTCTCTCTTCATGGACTTCAATTATATTCATGCTCATCTTACATATCATTACTTATTTTATTTACCATTCTAAACCTTCTATATTAACTTCTCCACATATTTCACACTTCTTAATTCTACCTTAATTAATCATCTTAGTTTAAATCATTATACTTGTATCTTTTGTCCATTTTTTATCATCCCTTTGTCTCATCCCTTATAAAAAAAAAGAAAATCAGTTTCTCCTGAAATCATTAGAGTATGATGCCTTTCTATCTCCCCCCTAAGTTAATCAAATTAATCTTTAAAATAATATCTAATACCCAATCAGATTTTGCTTGGTACATTCTATCTAACTAATACATCCAACACAATTAAGTGCATAATTAGACAATAAATCCAAATATTAAAAAGAAATACTATAATAAAAATTTTATAATAACATCAATACCATAATTTTATTAAACTCTTTAATTAAAACAATATTCTAAACCTCTCCTATTATTAAGTTTTAAAGCCAATCATTTTTAAACATTTTAACATTTTAATCTCTTATCAACTCTTAAACCATTACAATACTACCATCTCATCTTATGTACCTTGCAAAATCTTTTTTTTTTTTTAAAAAATTATACTTTATCCATTATCCATAAAAAATTCCTTTTTTCCATTTAATTTCAACACATTGTAGCTTTTCTCCACCTTTTCCCTTTCTTTCTTTTCCCAACAAACCTTTCTACCCCCTCTTCTTCTAGCCTCTGCCTTACCGGCTTCCCTTCTCTGTCGTATTTCTTTTCCCCTTTGTTTACAATCATCATATTGGTTTTGCACTTTATTTTTCCCTTTCTTAAATGTTTTTTTGGATCTTAAGTCCTTAAATCCTTTAGTTTTCTTCTTTTCTCTTCTCTTCTTTTGTTTCTCTCTTCCTTTTTTCTGGATCAAATTCTGAGATTCATTAAAGATGGCTCCTTCCTTTCTTTCTTGTTCCTCTGCTGTCTTCATCTGTTGTAATTTTTGTTGATAATTAGTAAGCGCCATTTCTAAGAAAAGGAAAGCTTCTTCCACACCATCTTTACCATTTTTTTTTGCTTGTTCATATTCTTTTCTTAGTTCCTCAACAGAAAGAGCCATTATAAATCTTTTCTCTTCTTTTCTTCTTCTTTCTTCTTACAACAACCAGAATATTCAAAAGAAAATAAAAAAGATAAAACAGTCCCAAAGTTATCAATCAGTCCAAACCAAGGCAGGGTTCTCACTTTCTCCTTCTGGGGTAATATCAATCAAAGAGAAAGAAAGTCCAAATCTGTTTAAAATCTTATTACAATATATTCTAGTCTTCAAATCCTTAAGGCATCTGCTCCAACAAATCTTAGCATACAAATATTTTCTTCTTAATCCTCTCTCTTCCCACTCATCGCTTAAAACCAATTTCCACCTAAAAAAATAGGTTTCTTAATATCCAGTTATTTATTCCGTAGGAAAAGAGGGAAAGCTATCCTTTCAGCACCTTCAAGCAGCCGCTTTTTTCCTCTTCTGGCAGGTATTATTCAGAGAATCATACTTTTCAGGAATTTTATTAAATATGTCTTAGAGTCCTAGGAGCCAAGAAAAACTTTCTCCTCTCAATCACTTTCTCCACTTCCTCCTGCGCATTCTTACCCGGCTGCCAGCTTCTTTGTGGCGGCCATTACGGACCGCCGCTGCACCGTCCTGGGAAAAGGGAGTTCTGCCGGCCAGGGAGGGAGTCTGCAGCACCCCCAAACCCTTCTCCGGATCCCCCCTACTTCAGCTGCCCCTGCAGGGCAGCCTAGCTCCGTACCCGGCTGGGTCGGAGCCCCAAAAACGGCTAGCGCGGCAGGGATCGCGCAGCTTCGCAAATCCCTGCCGCTCGCGAAGCCGACAAACCGGAAGTTCCTCGGCAGTCCAATCTCTTCTTGAAGGTCTCAACTGATGGCGCTCCCACAACTTCCGAGGGCAACTTCTGTTCCATGGGTTGATTGTTCTCACTGTCAGAAAGTTTCTCCTTATTTCCAGGTTAAATCTCTCCTTGTTCAGTTTCCATCCATTATTCCTTGTCTGGCCTTCAGGTGCTTTAGAAAATAGCTTGACCCCTTCCTCTCAAATATTGGAAGACCACTATCATGTCTCCCCACCAGACTAGCCAAGCCCAGTTCCTGCAACCCTTCTTCATATGTTTTAGTCTCCAGTCCCCTAATCCTCCTGGTTGCTCTTCTCTGTACTTTTTCTAGAGTCTCAACATCTTTTTTGTAATGTGGTGACCAAAACTGGATGCAGTACTGTTGGTGTGGTCTTAGTAAGACTTTATAGAGTGGTATTAGTACCTCTCTTGATCTTGATTGTATCCCTCTGTTAAGGCAATTTAGGATTGCATTGGCTTTTTTGGGCTGCTGCCAAAATACTGTATATATATAATGCAGTACTTGTGCATGTGATTTAACGGATTAACAAGAGTTGGAAGGAAGGGACCTTATAGATCATCTAACTTGATATGAGATAAGACTTTATAGGCAATAACCTTCATCCTGACTTGCACCCAGAAGCCAACTGGCAACAGTACATCTCACTGCCTGCACTGCTGTATTCTAGACCAGGTAAAGCTTTTGAGTGGCTTTTCAAGGGCAGCCCTCTGGAGAGCACATCACAGCAGTCAAGCCTTATAGTGATGCTTTGTGGGAGAGCCCTTTTAACTTTTTCTGAATACATGGTGATTTGCTTAGGGCTTGGGAGGAAAGCAGCATTTCCACAATAGAAATGCAACATGGAGGGAAAACATCTAGAATTGGACAGCAAATATATGTGCTACTAGATAAGTTGTGCCCCTTTAAATAAATATGCGTGTGTGGAAAGGCTGTTTCAACTATTTCTAAGCTATAATATTTTTTTCAAAATCTTTTAATGTGTTTAACATAATTTGAAAAGTTGAAAACTGTTTCATTTTCTTTCTGAAATTAATTTTAGAAACAAGCTGTTGCTTTTCTTCAGTATGGATGTGACAGGAACATTCTTCAACAAACTGCGAACTTTGGCAGTCACTTTGGAGAAGCAGGCTGACCATTTTAAGCAAATTTTACTCGAAGATGAAGGTGATAACGTAGTAAATAATTGCTTTTGCTTCAAAAAGCTTACGCTGAGACAAAAACCAAATTTGCATTTTGGTTTAAACAATACAGTATATAAATTTGGACACAGTGTCCCTCTGAATTCTACACTTAATTTGCATGCATTGGTACATTTCTGAAGCTCATACTGATGTTCCTAGGACTCCCAACCAATGACCATGCTAATTTTTGATATGGCTAGAATATCTCACCTTTTAAATAACAAACATTAATGTACAGTATTGTACATCATTTTCTAAAGATTTTGATTGTGAATATTTTCAAATGTTTTGAAGAATTTGAAGATGATTCTCCAATGAGATATCTACATGAACTGTACTCTGAAGCCAGAATACTAAAGGTAGATATGACCTGCTTCTCTTCATTCTCTTCACCTTCAAATTGCTTTTTTAGAACTTCATCATTTTTATATTAAGAGTTAAGGTCTGATTTAGTGGAAGATCAACATATGAAAACCTGATTTCTTCTATACCATGTCTTCTGAAACCTTCCATGTAAATTTGTAATATTTCCAGAAAACCCACCAATGCTATTCTATTAGGAGATGATAGCCTTATTTTTTAAAAACATAAGTATCTTTGGATAGCATGAAGTCATAACTAGACATGTTTTTTTAAATAAACTATGTTTTTATTAAAACGAAAAAAGACATTTTCTTGCTCCTTCTATGTAATAAAGAGCTTTTATGCTAAACCTGACATGTAACTTGTTAACACACACACAAATTGACTATTAAAGTTTATTTCTTTATTAAGATCAGTTCTAACTCAAATTAAAAACAAATCATAGGCTGATGCTGATAATATTCTACATACAAGTTCTTCAGAAAGAGATGCCATATACGACTTCATAAAGGCCACCAAAGTTCTGATGAAGAGAAATGCAACCAATCTTGAAAAAATAAGAGATCTCTTTCAGAAATATGGTCACAAGCCACTTATAGGCAAGAATGAAGGTATTTTTCCCCTCAATCTAGAATATTTGGTGCTTTAATATATTCTATAATTTATTTCTGTGTGCATTACTAATATTAAAAAGGATAGACACTTCAGCTTGGTAAAGCCTATATATCACTCTTCATCTTCTATAGCTTTGAAAACCTGATCTTGACATTGCTGCTAGGCTTGGCACTGCCTAAGTCAAAAGTTTAAAAATTTCTATAATATACATATGTACTAAAAAACTATGCCTCAATTTATTTTATTTTATTTTTTGGCCCTATGATACAAAGTTTATTGGCTTTCAGTTGTGTAAAAAAAAAAAGGTCATCTATATGTAGCTTCTTATTCCAATTTCCATGGCACTTGAGGATGCATGAGCATTCTGGTATAACCCATAATTATTTAAACTATTCAGGTTATCAAGGTTTTTCATCTCCCCACTGTATTTATGGGGTGGGGATGTGATGTAGCATTTGCAATAGTAGTAATAGTTCAGAATGTTTTATTCTCATATAACTAAGTACAGGACATATATGGAATAAAAAATTGGTATAATGATATATGCAGTCTGATGCATCATAATATTAAGGAACTTTTAGATTAAAAGGTTCATTATATTATATTGTAAATGCATGCAAAGTAAGTATTTATTTAAAAGTGATTTCATAGGACTGCTTGCAAAAAATGAAGACTTGTTGCTTTTTAAAAATTTGATGATTTAAAAAATGATCCTCCTAAACTCTTTGAATATACACATTGCCAGGACATAATATACTTTGGCTTTAGAATTATTCATCTCTTATTTTTATATACAATACAGGTCACTATTATTCAAAAAAGAATGGTTAAAATGCTTGATTTATTGGTTAAACCTTGTTGTATGGTTAGCAAACCTTGGTTACAGAACGAACAATGGTAGTAATAGAAAGACAAGATTTATACAGGAAAAAAGCATCCAAATGTGTGATCTATTTCTTGACTTTTGGTATGCCTTATCACCAGATTCAGTGAGACAATTCTCTTTTTAAAGCCATAAAGGTTGATGATGAAATCAACGCTGGATCAGCTTTATCTGATCAAATAGAGCCAAAACCTCCTGATTTTCTTCAAAAATCATCTGGATCTCATAGTCTCCTGGAAACTCCTCAGCTATCAGATTTTGGGCTTTCAAAATATGCCTTTCCAAGTTCTTCAGACACAATACACATTCCACATAGCCAGAAGGAAGAGGTGAAAGGGGATGCATCTGAATATTTGTTACCCAAAGTAGAATATTTCAATATCCACGGGCGTGATCTGTCTGTAAATGATGAAACCACAAATTTAATGGATGACCAAACAATCTTTTTGCTTAATAAGACAAGAAAAAATAGGTAAGTGGTATAACTGGAAATCATTACAAAAATAAAACGATTATCATTTTTCTGTCTTCTTGTATCTTTTATGTCTGAAGTAATACAACTATTTTTTGTTATCTTCTTACATGCTTAAGTATATCATTTCTGCTGCTCCATCTCTGAAAATTCCAAGCAGCTTTTAAATAATATAATATTGAAATATAAAGAGACAGTAGCATTAAACAAGAAGGCTATGATGTATCTCAGTGCAGGAATCATGCATTCAAATCATGCATGTGAAATGTTCAAACATGTCCAAATACCTTGTTTTCATGCTTCTTCAAAACTAATAGGGAGGGGATGGGTTTTGAGGTAGAAAAATTCAAGCATAGGATCCCTTTAAGCAGCACTCCCTACTGTATCTCACACAATGGGCAAATTCAACCCAGAGAAGGCAATCTTGTATATGTACAGGCGCTAAGCCATATTGGACTTTAAAGATAGTAACTAGCACTCTGAAATGTACTTGGAAGCTAATTGGCAGCCGGTGCAGTTCTCAAACAGTAATATTACATGAGTGGACCAGAACAATTTCGGCCCTGCATGCTCAATCATCTTGCAACTTGCAAAATGTCTTCTATGGCAGCCAGCTTTCGTTGACCAGTTGCAGTAAACTAGCCATCAGGTAACAACAACAAAGCTGTTGTGATGTGAACAAAGCTTTCTGTACTAAAATTGACCTTTATGTTGCAAAGGGTCTCTTGGCCAAATCCTCCAGCTCCTTACCTGCTGTTTAAAGAAGAGCTATAAGCCTGGAAAAATCCCTAGCTTGCAAGCCATGGCCTCGTAGGGAAGCACAAATCCAATGGAAATCAAAGCTGACCTATCTTTGAATATAGTTGGGAAAGTGTCTATGGAGATTCTCAGTCATCCAGGTCATGGTTGTCCCAAAGGTGCTTTTTTTCAAGAGGTAGCTGGACTTTCTTGTTTTTCTTTGAAGATGTTTTGCTTCTCATCAACTGTTTCTTCAACTCTGCCTGGATGGCGGGGAATGGAAGGATTTATACTCCTCGCAAACAGCTGGTCATTTGCATTCTTTTAGCAAATTGTTAAGGCCACCTGGAGGTTTATCTCTACCATCAGGGTCACCTGAATAGTGCAAATGGGTATGGAACTTTCTTGGAACTGTGTTATAGACTGGAGATAGATGGTGTCATATCCCTCCCCCTCTGTTTAGAGAGGGCTCTTCAGTTTTGACATAGATGGCCTCTGGCCCCTATTTCAAACCAGCGTCTGTCCAAAATGTGGACGTCAAAAGAATGGTCTTTGTCTTTTTAATGCAGATGGACTTCTAGTCCTGATGGGTCCTTCCATTCCCTACCATCCAATCAGAGGTGAAGAAGCTTCTTGGATGAGAAATGAAACAAAAAGAAAAAACCAGTTGCCTCTTGAAAAAAACCACCTTTGAAATAGTTGGGAAAGGTTTGATATATATTGGTTGTACTTTGATTTAAATAACATTTTTTTTCTTTTGCTGATAACTTGACCAGATCAGCAGGGGCGATGGTATCAAATCAGAATCTGGCAGCACTCAGGCAATCAAATGAAGTATGTGGTAAGTCTTGTGTAGGTCAAATAACTTCTGGGATATCTTGTATTCCTAAGTGAAGTTCTGGGAATCAGCTTGAAGATGTCAAAGTTGAGAAACAGTGCCTTAATGTATTTCACCCAACATTTGGGATTTGTTAAGGAAAATGCTGCCGAGTTTCTGGACTTGATTCTGCTGAGCCCTCAAATCAAAACTCAGATCTCTTCCTGCAGCATTGCCAACAGTATTCTGGGACACTTTCCCTACTCCCCACCACCCAGATATCTCCAAATAGGTTCTGGATGAGAGAGGGAAAAGGGAACAATCAGGAATTGTAAATTTGCAAAAAAAAAATAATGGTTGAAGATAATGGGGCACATTGGACTGTCCCTTGCTCTCTTCTGATTCTGCTCAATAAGCCCTTTTCATGAACATATATTTCTTAAACTAATCCTTTGATCCATTTTCTGCATAATATAACATGTTTTCAGTGTGAATCAATCAAATGTTTTCAGGTTATGATAGTTTTGCTTCACCTGCTGCACCTAACTTCTGCACACCTGGAGTGAAAATTCCCCACAGAAAGACCACTGTTTTATCAGAGTCTCCAGAAAGTAAACATTTGGATGTTCCTAAACACACAACAGAATTACCTCCACTTGATACAAAATCTCAGGAAATACAACCTCTGGTAAGCATTGAGCATCATAGTGGCAAATTTTAGGAACCTCTTAATAAAATGCCTGTCTCATATTGAATCCACTGTATGTATATCTCAAGAATAATATCTCAACGCTTGCTTGAATTAGCTATTTGATACTTTCTGAAAAATATACACTATGTTTCAAAATTTCAGCACTTTTTTTTTTCTTGCCCTAGCATGTAAGTGCTCCTAAGATACTGCCAGATAATAATCTTATAAAAGACAGTGTTCAACCTGTCCTGGGTTCAGACAAATATCTGGAATGTACTGAAGAACCTCCTCCTCCAGCAATGCCAGTATATGAGGACCTCTTCAGTTCACTATTACCACCGCCTGAAATAACTGTGATTCCAAACAACCTCTTGCAGGTTTGATGTACAAAATTAATTTGCACTAAAGTTAGCATTTTATTAGCAAAATTGGAAACGTCCTTTTTTCAAACATTCTTCTTGTTTAAACTTACTTAGATTTTATCCCGGTACAATCCAAATATAAAAGTACCCAGGTCAGCTGCGAAAGGAACTAAAGAAGAAAATGCTTCACAATTTGAAGAAAAGCTATTTCTTTGTACTGATAACAAAGAAAACAGGTAAGCTTTGAGCAAAAAGTACATTCCCTTGTATTTTGTGACTATGAAAACTCTGAGTTTTTGAAACTTGATTTTTTTTTGTACTTTCATGCAATTGAGATATTTTATCTTTGCTTTAAACAGTGGCCAACCAAAATCTTTGCTATCCTGATAGTTTTCTGCTACTGTTTCCTTTCCCAAAATAATTTTTAATCCATCTTGGCAGGAAAAAAAAGACGAGCATTGATAGTGTTAATACTCTACTCAGTGGTTCCCAACCTTTTTTTCGCCCCGCACCCCTAAAGAAATTTCACTCGAACCTCGCACCCCCTGAAATTTAGACTTTAGGAGCTACTGAACGCGTTAAATATATGGTAGGATTGAAACTTTTCAGCTATGTATGTGACGGCCACTAAATAACGATACTTAACTCTAAAATGAAAACAAAGTTAATCCATTGCATAATAAATAAAAATGCCAACATATAGCCAATATCCTATTTTTTACCTGGCCTTTTCTCGCACCCCCTGGAATATCGTCTCGCACCCCAGGTTGGGAACCCCTGCTCTATATCAAGGGTAGTCAACCTTTTTATATCTACCGCCCACTTTTGTATCTCTGTAAGTAGCAAAGTTTTCTCTAACCACCTACCGGTTCCACAGTAATGGTGATTTATAAAGTAGGGGACAAGACCCCTACCGCCCACCATGAAAGCTGGAACGCCCACTAGTGGGCAGTAGGGACCAGGTTGACTACCACTGCTCTATATCCTTATATACAATGTTTAGTTTCACAAACAATCCTAAGAAACATTGTTTCTTGAGTGCTTTTTTTTTTTTTTGCATGACAGCCAAGGATAATGTATTCTATTTTTAATGAGCTATCTTACTGAATATTTTGTCTTTTAACTACCTATAACGATCCACTTCGTATCATTTCTCTAAACAAGCCATTTTCACACTTTCCTGACATTATGGTCAAGAAATCAATTTGTGGCTTACTATCTCCCAACCTTTTGTCAATTGAATAAAGATGATACAATTATTTCCTGGGGAGAGAGACCTATTATGAAGGAATCAAAATACTCATCCTTCCCAGATGCTTTGTATATAAAGCCCTGCCATTCTAGCCAGTGGACAGGTTGACAGTCAGCAGAATTAGCCTAAAATACTGCATTCTAACCACTGCGCCACCACAGCTCTTAAGCCAATTGAAATCTAGCTCTCAATTTTTTTAGGAAGAAATGGATGAAAAGTTGTGAGAAATAACTATAATGCTTTTCAGTTTCCCATTAAAACTAACACTGGAAGTGGAAACACAAATAGAATGCTATTTCCATAATTAAGAATCTTATAAAATAAATGTTTGTATCTATTGAAACATTAATAGGTGAAGATAATAAAACAAGATTGTAATATAAACGTGGTTCATTATTACATTTGCAGAAAATACTCTGGATGAAATGAAGACTAAATCTGAATTTTTTTCTTCGACTACCAGCCTAAAGGTTCTTTACTTTGTAAAGTATAAATGTTTAATTTTAAACTATTCAATCATTTTTACTCTCCTGTAAAAATTATCAAAATAAAATAATGAACATAAATATGACTAAATATTTATATGCTGTCAGTTTATTAAATTATTCATAATCATGTTGTCTTTTGAATCACTGCAGTTGTTAAATGAATCATGCAGTTAAGTAAATCAGGCTTCTCCCATTGACTTTGTTTGTCAAATATATGCCAGTTGCCAAGTGTCCAAATTTGGATCATATGACCATAGGGAAGCTGCAATAGTCATGTGAAAACGATCATAAATAACTTTTTCAGTGCTGTTGTTAACTTTGAATTATCACTAAACAAATGATTGTAAGTTGAGGACTACCTGTATTTGTGTTTTATTCCCAAGTTCAGTATTTTATCTGCCCTCAAGTGAATAAAGCTGGGGTTTCTCTCAGAAGCCAAAGATTATAGCAGCTTTGATATATAGAACCAGTGAATACCTAACTAAAGCATATTAGCACTTTAATGCTCCAATAAGGAACAGAATATTTTAAATTCGTAGACCTACACCTAATTCTTATCAAAGAAAATGTTACTAAGTAAACATTAATTGCTTCTAATCATTTGCCTAGTTAGCAGAAAATAGCTTCACCAGCATTTATCAATTCCAGAAAATATATTAGGGATT